TCGTTATTAAAACGTATCATGATTGTAATTTGAGTTGAAATAATTAAACATGCTTTTGCATTACAGACTAATCTTTTGCTTTTCATGACAGATTAATTGTTAATTAAGGTTAGACACACAATAGCTATATACTTACGGAAGAAATGGATTTGTTTTGCACCTTTCTAAGAGTATCTGGCACTTATTTATGTCTCTCGAAAAACCACGAAAGTACCCTGTTGATATTCAATAGCGTTAAATCTCGATGCTGCTATTTTACACAGTCGCATTTGCTTCGTTCTTCAATACGCAATTAGAAAATATTGTATTGCTAAGTCGCTTAAATAATTACGGCAGAGCACGCTAGGGTATACTTGAAAATGTAGCACAGGGAGTTTTAATTCACTTTTAAAAGTGGTACTTAAATCTGAGATCCGGGTAATTCCTTCATAGTCTCGCGATTACGTGTCAGAAATGATAACAAAGCCATGTTTCTCGTTAGTCTAGGGTTTCTCTTCGGCAGACTGCAATAAAGTCGTCTCTGATGAGCTTCTTTCCATCTCAGTGATACAGAAAATATAATGTCTAAAAATTGGCTACATCAAAAGCTGATACGCTTATACATATTAAATATATATATTTATGATTATCTGTCTATTATCCCTCAGTGCATTAGGGAAGTTTTTGTAACTAAAGTGACCCGTCAGCAGCATCTCATAGCTCTGTAACCTGCTTTACTATAGTCTTTTTCTTTCATTTAACTTAGTATATTTAAAAATTTTTAATTTGCAATATTGAACAAACTTGTTTGCTGTTATTTCGTGTTACATATTGATTACAGATACATATATGTATATACAGTCTTAAAATATCGAAATATGCTTACTTACTCCTCCCCGAAAAAAAATTAAATTCAAAGCTTTTTTTTTCATATGGAAACCACATTCTTTCCAGCAAATGGAAACCACAGGTTCAGTTTGAATTATTTTTTAGTTTGTCGGGAAGAAAATAAAAAAGGAGAGGGGGAGATGTGGCGAAAAAAGATTCAATTGTTGACTAAAATTAGATATCTCCAGATGAGAAAAGATTCTATTTTCAGATTCATAGTTGATGCATCTGCCGTCTGCCTTGTTTTGTGCGACATTTATATGTACGCAACGTACAGTAATATTTCCTTTTAATCGACTGGGGTAAAAATAACTTAAAAACTGTTTCGCAGTTCAGAAAAGAGCTGTCTTAAAATGCCAAAGTGTTTTTTGCATTACTAGGTGTCATAAAAACACGGATTACTTTGATCATTTAGAACTCGCTGATGATACACTGGCTGCCGCAAAATGATTCACAAATTCTTACACATATGTGACCAAACTGCACCCGCGGTATGCTAACAAAGTTGGCCTGTTTCAATTATGCTAAAATGATGAAAATTCAAATGCATTGAATTGATTTTATTTACTTATAAGAAATTCACTTCTAAAATTAAGCCTATATTGGTCGCAAAGTACATTTATGTATGCCACGTACAAGTTACAGAAAAAGGTGCTTACTAAAACAATGAAGTTAATTCGATTCAAATGGATAATTCTTGTTACTCTTCCTAATATTAAATCATCTACTTTATTGCAGGGCCTAAAAATTATTATTGTTGAAGCAATTATTGCTGAAGCTAAAAATTATTATTGTTATGCATTGAGAAATTACCATGTAAGTATATATAATTTATCAGACATTGATTGAACAGCTCCTGTTCATATCTCATGGCATTTTCTACGTGCTTCGGAAACTGTTAACGTGCAGGTATAAATGAAAATATTAATCCCCAGCTGAAAATGTGTGACATAATGCCAATTTTTAATAACTGTAATTGTTTTTCAAATGTACCTTAATTATGTCTCGACGAAGTTTTTATTTGTCATTCTAGGTATACTTCACTGGCTTTTAACCATTTTTACTTTTTCTTTAATTTAAAACTTTTCAGTCAGGTAAAAGTAACGTATCAATTGAGGATTGAGTTTTCAAGTAAAATTTGATCCTTCATTGATACACGTTGCTTCTTAATAGTTTGGCACTCTAAATTAATATTTTAATCTATTAATTACCTTTAAGTTAGAAAGCAGCTTAAACACAAATGTTTTGCTGTCTGTAATTTTTTTTTAAATTTTAGTTTGCTCATATGCGTATAAGAAGAAGTTAAATTACACAGAATTAAATTTTGTTTTATAAAGGTAATCTTATTAACTATTACTTTACTATTTTCATTTTCGCAACTTCCTACTTCTCCAGCTAACGGATTTTAAATTTTTTCGTGAAATTAAGTTCTACTTATAATCTGCCAAAATTTTAAGTTTAACATTTTAAAAAATTCTTCCTTAATTACGTGATATTAATTTTTTATTAGACTTCAACAATAATAATTTTTACATATTCAACAATACATTAATTTTTCAGTTTTCTAATATTATTTTCCAGTCTTAATAAACAATACTAACACTGCTTAATTTGTACCTTTTTTAAATTGCTACGACTAGAAATTTATACATTATACTCTTTCGTTTTGAAACTTTGTCTTTCTAAGAAGTAAATTTAATTTTTCAACTCGCTTTAAATTTACTCAAACATTAGTATTACTTTTATATTAGGCTTTTATAATTTTTAATCCTTTAATTCTTCATTTAAACAACAATAGTATTATTTTTTCCATTCTCTTACTAAGCAGCATTCACATTACTCAACAAACTACGCTATTTCAATAATTTTGGTCAATAAAACACAATGAGCTATTTTATAGATAATGCAGGAATAGCGTTTGCGTCCGAATTCGGAAATTCAAATAATAGTGCTTTTAAAGTTGTCAGTTGCTACTGTTAAGGTGGAAAAATCTGCAGCAAATTTTTAAAATAATAAAACTTTTATCAAAAATATAACCTTCAAGGGGGGAGGTCAAACGTGGCAGTTTTTTTTTCCTAGAACATGAATTTAGCATGTCGAAATAACTTCTTTAAAAACAAGAAAAATTAAACTATATCTTAAAACAAGTTTGAAAAATTAATTTAATACTTGTGCTAATTGTGTTATTATTTTTATTACTTAAGTGTTATTTGCTGCTTATATAAACAATATTATTATTAAGTATTTTGATTTGAAAATTCTTAATTATTGTGTATATTATTTTTCTTAATATATAGAGCTACGTTTAAAAGTAATAGAAGAGTTACGGTATTACGATTAAATATTCAGTAGACAGCGCTCAATGTGATCGCATTTACACACGGGTACTTTGATAACATTCAGCAATGAGAAGAAATATCCTTCAAAGTAGCAATGGAATTTGACTTATTTAATAAAACATATAGCTAAGTATTTTTACAACATTTTAACTAAGAAAATGCAAAGTTCATTAAGCTTCTGGAAATTATTTGACCTCTAATCTTAATATTAGAAAGATATCCCTCGTTAGAACAGAACATACGAAAGTAAAATTTTAAATTATGCAAAATAAGCAGCCTTAGATTGTCGTGGATGTTTTCATTATTTTTTTGGTTGATCTTTAGATTATGGTAACTTGGCGATTTTTGGCGACCAACTATCCTACAGCAACCCTCTATTTTTTTTCCACGCCGCCATTTTGTCTTCACGAAGTAAAGACATGTTTCTTTTCTTTTTATCTACTGAACACTTCTTCCAACAATCTACTAGCCGAATTACACTTATGCTAGAAATTTTATCTAACAAAACTGCTTAATCATGACAAATATTCACTGCAAAATTGGGAAAAAGTGCACAATACCATACTCCTTACGCGTTTTTCAAAATAACACATACACATAAACCATGTACACGCCGACTTATTTTTACTTAAAAAAACATCCCAGAATTGCACAAAAATGGCATTGCGCACACTCTTCACTATATCCATGTACACTGCTTTTTTCTCATAAATTAGAAAAATTTCACGAAAATACATGACAATTTTCTCAATCTTTAAACCCGGTAAAAAGAACATATATGAAATTACCTGATCGCGAAAAAGTATTTACCCTTTCCAAATATGAACATTTCCACATATAAAATAAATAAAATATCCAAAAACTTTTACCTCTAAATCATCTATTACATTATAAACGTCACCAACGAATTCATACCGCAAGCATTACAAATACTTAGTGTCAAATATTTAAATTATTTCCATGCACGTTTACTTCAACTAAAACGTATACCAAATTCCTACAAACATAAAATTCACAAAATAACTATCATTTAATTAAAATATAATTAAATTCAAAAACACTACTTAAAATATAAATGAGCACATACATTAAATTAATAAAAATTACCTTACAATCCTAATTACTTTAAACTAAATCATTGCTAATAACAATTTTCCCAATAATACCAAATTCCTTTCTTCCACCTTACATTTAGAACAATGCATAAAAATAATATCCTCAAATAATTAAAAATACTAACTTACCTAATCTTCTTCTTCAGAATCTTGATTACGTGGCCGATAAACTTTCTTATTTCTTATTTCTGTTTCAGGATCTTTAAAATCATACTTATAGTTCACAGCAAGGTACCAGGTAAAATAAATAACTTAATAAAACATCTTTACTTCTATCTCGCACAACCTTAAAGAAACACTTATTACTACCCCTTTCAATCCCACTAAATACCCATTTCGAATTCACTTTAGTTAGGGCCATGGGATCCAAAAATTAACGAACACTGTTTCACACAACACAGAATAAAGCCAAATACAAAATTTCCAGATTTTTTCCCGATTTCCCCCCTTTTCCGATTAAAGAACCGTAATTCGTCCATTAATATCACATGACATATCCCATGATCTCTCATTTCCCTCACACAAAATAATGCGTAATCGGAACTGAGTACTGCTCACATTATTACCAAAGTCCCAGGTAGTAACCTTTATCGCCTCCAAAATGTCGCCAAACTACCAGTTACCATATTCTAAAGATCAGCCATTTTTTTCCCAAGCGAAAAGAAAAAATGGTACTTACGTATTATCCTGTCGACCGCTTGCGGTAATTTTGGCAATCGTAGCTAATCCCCAATCCTTACTGCGGAATTCTAAAGGAAGATATGCGTATAAGAAGAAGTTTAATTACATAGAATTAACTTCGTTCTATAATGGTAATCTTATTAACTATTACTTTACTATTTTCCATTTTCGCAACTTTCTTCTTACTTCTCCAGCTGACGAATTTTATTTATTTTTTTTTATAAAATTAAGTTCTACTTATAATCTGCCAAACTTTTAAGTTTAACATCTTAAAAATTCCTTCCTTAATTACGCGATATTAATTTTTGATTAGACTTGAAAACTAATAATTTTTACATATTCAACAATACATTAATTTTTCAGTTTTCTAATAATAATTTTCCAGTCTTAATAAACAACACTAACGCTACTTAATTTGTACCTTTTTCATTACTACGACTAGAAATTTGCACACATTGCTCTTTGTTTTTGAAACTTTGTCTTTCTAAGAAGTAAATTTAATTTCCCAACTAGCTTTAAATTTAGTCAAACATTAGTATTACTTTTATATAAGCTTTTATAACTTTTAATGCTTTAAGTCTGTATTTAAACAACAATAGTATTACTTTTTCTTATCTCTAACTAAGCAGCATTCACACTACTCAACTTGTGTCTTCCCAGTTTCGCCACACTACACGCGGTCAGTTGGATGCTTAGCTGTTCGAGAATTAGGAGGTAAAATTAATTCTAATTTCCAGTTTTCATTTACTGTTGTTTTCTATATTTGTATCTGTTTTTGGAAATTATGTTTTTGTTTTCCATACTGAAACTAAATTAAATTATATTTTAATGTACCAATTCTGCAATAGTAAAGTTTGAGCATTTTTGCCTCTCCCCCTTTCTGTGGTTTTTGGATTCTATTTTTATCTTTTGCTTGGTGGCTTCTATATTAGGCCAAGTCAATTTTATAAGTTACTCGTTTATTTTTTAAAAATATGAAATTATTCCTATCATTTTTTTTTCTTTTTAATGTTGTGTATCTAGTTTCGAATCACACCAGGATTTATTGGTTTAATAGACAATTATTTTTGTTTTCCAGCAATTGCCATTTTTCAAAAGCTTGTTGCCAAGTTTAATTCCCCTGTATTATTTTGTTTTTTTGACTATTTCTCCTCAGTATAATTTAAAAAAAAATATTTTGCTGTCTTGCTTCTAAAAATTTTATATTTACAAAATTTGGGTGATTTTGCGTTTCCTCTGGTTTTAGATACGACATTTGCATTTTTGTTCTTTTTGGTAATTTGTGCAATTTACCATTTTGCTCTTACAAGTTACTAGTTTTTTAAAAAAATCTAGTTTTTAAATTAACTAATTTTCCTCTTACTTAAACAATTTTTTTTAACCTTTTTTATATTGCGTAATTAACTTAGAGTTTCGTTGGAGTAATTTATGAATGAATTCAAATAATATAAAATATTATCATTATTTAAAAATTTTTTAGTTCTTGAAAACCTTTTATTTTTATTCATTTATTCTCATTCAATTAATTATTTCAAATTTAAGTTTCTTGAATGAGTTTTGTTTTTCACTCAGATATATTTCAGAAACGTGGTTCTGTTTACTATTCTTTCGGGTGCTCTTTGACAAAGACCAAAGAATTTTCAATTATTATTTAATACAGTGTGAATTTTGTTTCATTATATTAATTTATTTTTATTTCTGTAGCGAGTTAAAAAGTTTTGAAATATTCTATCCTATTTTGCGCTTTTCTGTTAGTAAGTTTACTAATATTGAAGGGTATAATTCTCTGTTATTTATATCTTTCTTGATTGTTTAATTAATTTCGCAGCAGTTTGTGCGACACTAATGATAATTACTAATTATTAATTTTTTAAATTTTTGATCTGTAATACATGTTTATATATACAGACAGAGAGAGAGAAAGAGAGGCATATATATATATATATAGGAGAGAAAGAGATGCAGAGATGAAAAATTAGATATTTAATTAATATGTACTAAGTGCAAAATTTTGCGAATAATTAAAAAAGAGGTAAAATATGTAGAACTAATATCAATCTAAAGTGTCTAATATAAAGGCCCAAATTAAAAAAAGTGAACCAAAATTGTATATATTTCTGTATATTTTATCATTTTCATACTATTTAAATCAGTTTTGTATGTTTTATATATTTCTTATGTAGATAGATTAACAGGAAGAGATGGAAAGAGGTAGTACGAAACAACGGAAACGCCTTTAAGCACTAACACAGCTAATATGATAAAGGGCAATTATGGCATGAAAAACAACCGTAATCTTCTCCGAAGTGGGATCATACAAGTCCTGGATCATGATTAATAATATGTTGTGTCATATTCTTCGGGAAATTAAAACCCTTTTCTTGAGAGATGGTGGAAAGAGTTATACAGCATCAGTCTTCTTCCAGTACAGATCTCATTCGTTCGATTATGTATAAATTTGATAATTTTGGATGCCAGAGATGGTGTACAGCTTCATTTCAAGCTCCTCAAATTATGGCAGCTGTATATGATTTGTATTATCATTCAAAAAGTAAGATTTGTGTGCGAAGCAAAATCTACATTTTTTTAATGGATATGACTATCAAAAATGGTTGCATATTTTCGGTTACATATTAAACATTTGCTATTAGTAATCTTTTTTTCAAGGACTGTTGTAAAAGAAAATCTCCAGAATTTATGATACACGAGGAAAACTATAAAAACTACATTCTGCAGCTCTGTTCTTTGGGAACCGAACCCGGATGAGAACCCACTTATTGGTCTTATCTACTTAGCCATTAGTGATTATGAAGCAGACACCGATAGGGTAATGATACTTTATTCTACTGTCGGATATTTTTCCATATACATTTATAACCGATTGTAGACGCCGTTTTACAGTCATCTATGACACAAAGGATTTTACAGCAGCGGCTTTGTCTTAAATACTTTTCTTATTCGTAGTATCATTCGGAATTGTGAGGAGTACACGCAGCATCAGCAGTCTTTGAATTATGGTAACTTGGCGATTTTTGGCGAAAATTTGGCGACCAACTCTGCTACAGCAACCTGCTAGTTTTTCTTTGGACGCCATTTTGTTTTCACGAAGTTAAAGGCATGTTTTTTTTTTTTTTTTACTCAACATTTTTTTCCAACAATCTGCTAACCGAATTACGCTTATGCTAGAACTTTTATGGAACAAAAGTGCTTAATCATGACGAAGGTTAGGTGCGAAATTGGGAGAAAGTGCAGAATCGCAAACTGCTTGCCGCGTTTTTAAGAATTGCACATTCACGGTATCCATGTACACGTCGACCTATTTTCACTTAAAAAAAACATCCCAAAATTGCACAAAAATGGCATGCACAAAAATGCGCACGCTCTTGATTTTATCCATGTACACTGCTAAAGTCATATCTAGTAACCTTTATCGCCTTACCAAAATGTCGCCAAACTACTTGTTACCAGATTCCAAAGATTAGCCCAGTCTTTTTTAAAATTTTCGTTTTCCTGCCAGGTAATTTCTCTTTTGTTCCAGAACTGTGTTTAGCAGTTGAACACAGAGTTCAACTGCTAGTTAAGAGTATAGAATACCGCCATTGCTTCTAATAAACTTTGCTACTCATGTCACCAATACAATAACTTGACTAGCACCTATAATTTCTTTTGGCTTGGAACTCATTTTTTAAAGTGTGAAATCTCTCATTTTTTCCTCAACAGATACTTAAAAATCTTAAGTAAATGCGCTTGAATACAACCTTATATATATAAACGGAATAATTTTCGGCGGGGGGAGAAGACAACTTTACATGTTTTCTCTGCAAATCATCAAAAGTAAAATAGACATTTTTGTATAATTCTGTTTATTTGCTATAGATATCTATAGACAAATAGATGTATAGATACTAAATAGTAGCAATCAGGATAGGTAGGGTACCAATGCCTATGCTAAACCAATTGTAGAAAATAAACTTTATTTTTTTAAAGAATTTTGCTATTTTTCATACTAATTCTTGCATTTCATGGAAAAATTAGTACATAGTAATGCTTTATAAAAATGAAAGCAGAGTTTGGCGGTATTTGCAAACTGTTCGACAAAAGGACTAAAAGTCACGTGCTCTGAAAGGAAATTTTCCAGTAGTCGAGCATAATGAAAGTGATATAACAGTGATATAAAGCACAGATTTAATGAGCGGATGAAAGCGTACCTTTGAGAAAGAAATTTGTATTACGTCGTTAATGTAAAACCGTACTTTTGCAGTCGGTTAAGCGCACATCTGCCTAAATAAAGCCGAATCTTACTATTTAGTATATTATATCTGATAAGAAATTAAATTTCCATTTCAATTTTTACTTATAATTTTATTCATTACTAAAAACCTTATCCTACCTAAACATATAAAGTCGTTACTCCTTTATGCATTTCCATTACATTTCAGTTTTGATAATATTCTGTTTTAGTCACTGCTTAATTTTAGATAAAAAAACTTTTGCTTAAAATGTATCTTATTAGTGATTACTTTGAAAAAATATCGTCGCACATTTTTAATGCGCATGAAGTTTTAGAAAAAATATCTTTGTAATAACTGATTAATTTAGAGCTTACATCATATTTTATCACATGTTGACAGACACAACGCTGTACAATTTTAATTATAATGGTGCAGCAGACAATAGGACAATAAACGATAGATACTTAGTAAATGTGCATTTCAACCAGGAACTGAAGCTTGGATTTCTCGGTTTACAGACAAAAATGCTTTCCTGACCCTATTATCTGCATTTTCTAATACCATTCTGAAATTCGTGTAACGGGTGGCTTTTACACTTTCCTAATCGCTATTATTTATAAGGTGCGTGCTACGCCTACGTACTATGTCGATGAAGATTCTACTTTAGCTAGGTACCACTTTAAAGATGTATGTTTAAGAGACCTGTATGGTGCTCAATGCTCTTGCTTTCAGCAATTCAAATTTACGAAAATTTTGATCCGCGTCGCTTTTTAAGGTATCGCACGTAAGTTCAAAATTTTAGAAAGCAGTTTTTAATCGGGGATAGAATATTCAAA